GAAAAAAGAAGAAGGGGGCTCCCTGACTCCCTGAGAAAAAGCATAAGGTAAGCATATAATTAAAAATTGGTGTTTTGATTCTCTTATAATTGATAAAATTTGAAAAGTTTTCTTAAGAAAATTCTTCTGATATTGTACTATGAAAATGTTAAGTGATCTTGTGTTTATTGGTTGACTATTAATTGACTTAGAAATATCTTTGAGAAGTAAAAAATATTTTAATCACATGATACAAAAGCTTTGAAATTAGTTTAGACCCAGAAAGAAAGAATTAAAGAAATGACTATCTTATCAGCAATTAATGGAAAATTGAACCTGAAGTCATATATTTCAATACCCAAAAAATTCAAATCCGATGTCAACTCGAAGAATGTTAAAATGGTCTCTCAAAGATAATGTGAGCAGCTTTTACAAAATTGGTGATAAGAAAACGACAACTACCACAATGGAGCTACAAAGTTACAACATATTTAGTTGTGATGTCCTTAAAAATAACACATCCTTATGTGTATTTGAAAGAATATAGTCTTGATAGTACCTTAAAGAATGAGTTATTTTTATATGTGCTTCTAGTCAATGGGTAGTACCTCAAGAAGTACTGTGCTTTGTGGTATTTTAAATACGAATCCCCGTTCTAAGAAACACAGGTGCCGCATTTGCCTAAAACTCGGTCCAAATCCTAAAAAATTCAACAAAAAAAAATGAAAACTCAAAGAACACAAATCAAAATAAATAATAAATAAGCAAACAAAAAAAAACAACATACATCAACCTTAACAAAAAAAAAAAAAAAAAAAAAAAAAAAAAGCTCAACAACAAAAAAAAAAAAATCAAAATCAAATAAATATAATAAAATATCAACATCAAAATCAACATCTCAAACTTCAATTCAACATGGTAAGGTTGAGCCTTCTCGACTTATCACTAGCGTCATTTCTCTTGGTATGGGTCCTCTTTCTCGCTTAGAAGAGGTTGGTTGGTTCTATTATCTACATAGGACCACACTTTTGCTAGTCTTTTGCTCCTTGTGGATGAGGCTTGGCTGGTTCTATTGATATGAAACTACATCTCTTTCCACATGGACATTTCTTCAATTAGCTTTTGAGTTGGATGTGAGTCCCTTAATATTTCTTCTCAATTTGATTCCTTCATACTGATATTTTCCACAACTTCATAAATCAAATGTTCATAAATTTTACAAATTTTCACAAATTTCAAAATTCTTCACAAATTCCATAATTCTCCCCAAACTCTATAAATGTTTGCAAATCCCACAAAATTTCCATGAATTCTATAATCACCATAAATTTTTACAAAGTTTTCATAGAATCGTGATCTTCACGAATTCATAATTTTCTATTAATTACACAAATTTCATAAAATTTCACGGAAACCCAGGGTCCTGCATCTCACTTGGAGTAGGCTACATGATTCTATATTAGGTGTCGGTAAGTCACCCTCACATTTTTATGCCCAAAGGGCATCACATTGTAACATTAGACTCATTCACAAGTAATAAACGAGGTTTTTTCGGCATCAGTGACTACCCGAAGAACGCGGTGAGGAAGCTTAGGATAGAATGACTAACCGTCGAATCACCAGTGCATCGATCCTTTGCAGTGGGTATGCATCCTTTTTGGCTGGCTTAGTTCAGGTTGGTTAAGTCCACACATATCTTCCATTTTTGTTAGCTTTTTTCTTCATCACCACATTGGAGATCCAGGTGGGGACTGCACTTCTCGAATATATCTGAACTCTTTCAGCTTTCGTACCTTCTTTTGGATGGGTCTTGCTAATGTCATGGTCAGGCTCCTTATCTTTTGCTTCATGGGCTGAGGTGATGGATAGACATTCAATCTGTAGCAGGCAAAGTCGATCGACACACTTGACATTTTAGTTGTCGTACACGCGAAGACCTCTTGGTTCTCTTGGAGGGTCCGAACCAACAACTCCCTATGTCTTGCATCTAAAAGCCTTACTTATCGTAAAACATTTATGTGGCTCCTATTCAACGATCGAAACTTCGTGAGTGTTCTTGTTGGTCTCGAGGCCACCTTCCCTTGCATTATGGATTTCAAGGGGACCGTGCTTCACGCTGCTTATGCCCCCACAAGTAGTTGACTTGAGACTGTTATTGGTTCCTTCTTATTGTGATAATTTTTCCATCTCCAAGGAATTTGATGGCGACGTGATAAGTGGAGACAACGACTATGAAATCATTCATAAGTGGCAGACTGAATATAGCGTTGTGTGTCGGGAGAGAATTCACCACGAGGAAATCTTTCGTTAGTACATTTCATTTTCCCTCTCAACTAACCGGAAGCCCAATTACCCCCAACACTTCATTCCTTTCGCCCAAAAATCTATACAGTGGTCCGATTGGTGAAGCCATCCGATCGACAGTGAGACTCAGTCCGTCGAATAGTTGTTTGAATAACACATTCACGGAGCTCCCAGTATTTACGAGGATGTTGCCAACATGATAATTATTGATTATCCTTGTTATCACAGTAGTATCGTTATACAAATTTCCCTTCGAAGGTAGATCCTCATCAGTAAAACATATATGCGGGTGGCTCTACCATTTCAGTGTGAAGGTTGCGACATAGAGTTCCCTTGTTTGTTGCCTTTTTTAATTTATCTTCCTAGGTGGTTTTGTTCCTCCAAAGATTGTGAGCACGTATCCTGCGATGTGATAGGAATTGGTGCATACGGGTCCATCTATCGTTTCTTCTATGGGAGCTTCGCCTTGCCTATGGGTCGCGACTCAAGGAGAGACAAAGTCTTTCAACTTCCCCTCCCTTACCAGTTCTTCAATCAGGCTCCACAGGTGTTTGCATTCCTCTGTGTCGTGTCGTGATCTCTGTGATATTTGCAATATTTTCTGTTATCTCTAAGAAAGGCACCCGCTCCATCGAGGTTGCCTTTCTGAAATACTCTTTATCTTGAATGACATCCACTTTCTCTATCATGGACACCCTTAGTGTCGTTTCTCAAGGGACCCCGTGATTACCTTGGTATTCGTGGCACTATCGGTAGTGTGGGGTATTCACTTGCCTCATTTCATCTTCGTGACGATGGATGTGGTTGTCAACATGGTGGTTCTCGTAGCATTGATAGACAGTCAGTCGTGTACTTTGTCCGGGTTGCTTTCTGTTGTCTTGTTGCAACCGCTTCTGGTGTTTCTGTTCGATGGATTCTAGGGCGTTCTCATAGGCGATGATATACCTGTTGGCCATCTCTGACAACTCGGTCAAGCTCCGCGGCTCTGCGCGTTCAAGGTCGAAATGGAATATTTTTTGACCTCTCTACCTGTGTCAGTGCAGGTTGGGCCATGTCGAGTCTCAGGTCCTTGACATCCATCATTTCCTTATGGAAACATGGAAACGTACGATAAACGATTGCAAGCTCTCATCGGGTCCCTGCTTCAGTTTCCATAGGGATTAGGTGTTCTTCATAGGCCTCAGAGCACTGCAAATCATGATAGAATAAGTTTCCCGAACACCGCAAAATAAGTGATTACCCCCACGGGAAAACTGTTAAACCATCTTAATGCAGTTGATCTCAACATTGTGAAGAATAACTTACACTTGAAGGCATTATAAATTTTCAGCAGACATATGGACGATTCGAGCGATGCGAGATAGTTGTTGAGATCTGATTGTCCTTTATATGATTCTAAGACTGAAATCTTGAGCTTCTCTGGGGGTTCATCTCCCGAAACTTGTAGAGAGAGAGAGCATTCTCCGGCTACCTTCGAACCTCATACTGCGCTGGTTGGTTCCTCTTCTCCACAGGGGCGGATCTAATGCTGTCTTGGTATAACATGTCATCAGGCTTCTTCTGCAGGTGAATCATTCTTCTTGCGTTGTTTGTCGGTGGTTTCTCTTGAGGGGGGTTGAGTGCTTATGTTTGGGTCGGTCCTCCTTCTGGAAGTGGGGCCGAGTGACCTCCCTGAGCACTTCTGCGAACTGTCCGAACATTTGGTTGGTGATCTGGGTTCTCATGTCCTGTATGCCTTGCTAAACAATTCTTCCATGGACTTCCGTGTTTATTTGCTTCGATCACGTTCTTCTGGCTGGATTCTCCCAGTAGTTGTTGTTGGGCTCATTTTTTTGTTGATTGCATGTTGCCACGCTCATCACACCTTTAAGGATGTTGAATCCCAAAGTGACCGGAGAACACACCCAAGGTATAAAACGTTAAGAAAGTGAAATGTTTAGGACGAGAGAGCACCGTAGGGAGTAGTAAAGTGAGTGTATTTTTTTCATATTATAGATCCACTATTATAAGCATAGGTCACAACATCACAAAAGTACATGCTAACCTCCTCATTATTGACTTTTTCAGAGAGATTTTTTAGTAATTACAGATTTATTTAAATATAATAGGATCAAGAGAGTGAATCGATTAATAAGAGTTCACCCACAAACCAACAAACCTCAAATCGATCGATATTTAATTTAAAAGCATGCTTCCTCTTGATCGTCTTGAGGGCTGATCATCGCCCTGCGGGAAATCTCTAGCCACGTTTTGTTGATCGCCCAAACAAGACTCCCCTCTAGTCGTAATCCATCCCAAAACGATCGTCAACAACTACGTTCCATTGACTGTTTCTTCCTCTAGAACTGTTTATCAGTCTTAAGATTCGTGCTAACATATTTTATACATTTAAATTGCTATTGTGTAAAATCTTTATCCAAGTAATTTATTATTATTTTTTTGTCCAACACCTTATGCATGCAAATAATTATTTATTTTCTTAAATATATCTGGGCTACTACTCTCAAATTTACATGATGATGATGATTAGATTTCATTAAAATAAAATTATAATATTGAAGTATAAATTAATCTGAATTATTTGGCATAAAATTGATATATGATATTTGGTTTTTATTGATTAATATTTGATGATTGTAATATAATATATAGTTATTAATATTTAAAATTGTTTATAATAAAGTTTATTAGGGTTGAGTAAGTAAATTGGGCTATTTGGGATGTTGATGCATCCATCTCTCTAAAAGTAAACTTATTACAATGATTCATGTATTAAAAATATAGTTATGATTTTAATTATCATATTAATTTTTTTTAATAGCACCTAATTATTATTCTAGGTAAGTTTGATGTTGTATGCAGCTCCCCCCTTCTTTCCCGCCCAAATTTGCTCAGCTGACCCCTTCAGTTTTTGCTCAGCGTGTTCCCTCTACTTAATAACAACACTAATATAAAAAAATTAAAAATAGGGAAAGTTTCGAAATCCCTCTCAGTCTTCCCCATCGCCCCGCCCTAGGGTTTCTTCCTCTCTTCCATGCCGGATCTCAGTAATCTTCTCCTGCCCATTATACCGCACTTTGAACCTAACTGTTCCACTCCCTCCTCCTCGTTCCTGCCGGACGCCGACGCTGCGATTGCTGGGGTCGAGTGCGAGTGGAAGCGGGGGCTTCGGTTTCCGATCTCCACACGTCGGCGAAATGGAGTGTTGCGGAAGGAGCGACGAGCCGGTGGCCGGCGGTCTGCGGCAGGGGATTCGCTGGAGGAATTCGTGCAAGCGTGGATGAAGAGGAAGTTGGATGGCGGAGTACGTGAGAAGGATTGCGTTTTGCCTTTCCTCAAGAAAGATCTTAAAATGGTGATTTCTCTCTCTCTTTGTTTTTCTTGATTTCTGCTCCATCTATTTATTTCATAATCATTTTTTTTCTTAAATTATGCCGAGTTGTATTGCGAATGGTTTTGTCGTTAAGCGATGAAATGGGTTTCTTATCCTGGAATTAAAATGGTTGGTTGGGTTTCTGTTGCGCTGTGGAAATATAGGTTATTTTTTGGGGGTTATAAATTTCCATTTGTAGTGGCTGGAGGAGTTACGACCAATGAATAGTTGGATGTAGCAAGGGTTCATTTTGGTGCTTGAGGTTGACAAATAAAGTTTTGAAAAATGTAGAGGTTTCTAGATTTCATCATTTGGTTTGATGTATTTATGATTCATAGGGATTTTTAGCTCTAAGAAAATTCAAAGTCAATCACAAGTCAGAATTTATTTTATAATTAAAAAGAGTGAAAAAAAATAATTTTTTAATACATTATAACTTGCTTGTTTAATTTGATATATTTTCCATTACATTTGGAATCTTTTCATGCCAATTGATCTGATATTGGGACTTCACCAATATGGTGATATATCTGATATATATACATGTGCGTGGGCATGTAATCACATCTGTGTACTCATCAATTAATGGATTATTGTAATTATTATGCACTTATTAGTCCAGCTATCCATTCATTTCTTTCAAATTGTTATCATGGTATCTATGTTTTAGGTTTTTTCTGTTCATTGTATTTCTATTAGAGTAGCTCTCATCATTCTATTATGACAATCATGCGCCTGTCATTATTGTATTCTGTTACTTTTTTTTATTATCGGACAAAATATCTTCATTGCCATTTTTTTTTCCTATTGTAGCCTTCATTATTATGTTATTATAAATTATTTTCATTGTTGCAACCTTCATCATTGTGTTGTATTTTTCTTATTAATTTTTGAACTAAAGCATGGTTTCCATGGACAATACTAATAATACTCACAAGCCCCTAATTTTGGATTCTTTGAGAATTGAGGGATACAATCTAAATTAACATGGTTTTTACAAAATATCTATTTAGTATATCAGTTAAATGAAAAGAATAATCCAATTTAATTGTGATTTATTTGTATGATTTAAGGCATGGTTCAAATAAGCATTCGATGCGTGTATCTTGCGGTGCTCCTCAAATTGAGGAGCATGATGAGTGCATCGAGGCTTAAGCTTCATTAGTGCTGGCGAGATTTACACCTTTTAGTAATGAGGCATATGCTCGAGTCACATTGCCTCGAGGCGCTTGACATAATGCCTCATTTTCTTAGTCATAATGAACTATATATTTATTTTATTAATATATTTTATGTAATATTATGCCCTATGCCCTTATACAATATTCTTCCACTCTTGACACTTACAACAACCATAATGTGAGTTAAGATTCATTCTATGCCTTATTTCTCTATCGAGTATCCTCTCAAAGGCCATTCACACATCACAACTATTGCTTTATCTCTCTATCACATCATCCTTAACCCATTCGCCCGCTGCCTCTCTATCATGCGTCATCCTGAGATTGTTCATATGTCATCTCTATATTGAACATCGTCCCAAGCCTGTTCACATGTTGCAATTTCAACTTCACGTTTTATGTCAAGCTTAGAACTCTCGTTTCAAGCATATTTGTCAAATTCTTATAATATCGACTCATCGAAGCTTCTCTATTGAGCATCGTCTTCTTCTCCACACTGACCAAAGTATTATTTACATCTTTCTCTCTCTTGCTTCATGTTCTTCATCTTTATTTTCTTCTTGGTATGCTTATGTTTTAAATAAAAAATTATTTTCTTAAGATTCCACTTATAGTTAGCATGATTCATAACATTTTATTTGTATGATTTTTTTCTAGATTATTTTGTTTAAACATGTTTACGAGATTTTTGTTGATTATTTCATATAAATTACTTATTTAGGGTTCTTTTTATAGCTAGTTTTAATTTTATGAGCTTTAAGGCCTTGTTTGGGATCACTTTCTGTTTTTTGTTTTGTTTTTTATTTTTTTTTCTATTTTATGTTTCTGGAAAACGAGTTTACTACTATTTTAATTTATCTGTTTTTAAAAATAAAAAATATAAAACATGTTTGATTGGGTATTTTCTATTTTTTTTTAAGAAAAACCTATTTCAAATACAAGATCCAATCGAAATCAAATTCATGATCCAATACAAATCCATTCTAATCCAAATTTTAATCCAAAGCGATCGTTCGCCACCCCCTGGGTTTCTTCTTCACCTAGTCACGACATCGCTTTTGATTCCACCTTGCCACTTCTTGATGTCCTAGAAATCTTCATCAAGCGCCTTCGAGCCAAGCAATTTTAGAAATTCAGTACCGATAACAACAACAATAGTAACAACTTTAATCATTCTCCGAGGTAGGATGGTCGCAAGTGTTCGATCACGTTGAAGAGTGCTTTCATTGGGATGAGTCTAGTGCAAACTACGCCATATTTGTGAAGGAACACATCACGCTCCACTATCGTGTTGATTCCGCAGGGGGTGACGAGGCTTTTGAGCTTAAGAATTCACATCCTCATGCTTAATTTTCTCTGTAAGTTTAAAGCTCCTTAAACAAAATTGAATTCTACCCTCATTTTCAATTCCATAATCAAACATTGAATCATCACTTTTCGAAAGCTTCGATTGAGAATATGCATCTTCATTTACTTTGAGCTTTATGGCACCACAAATTTCAAGTTACAAATGAGTTTCATTTCGCCTCCATAAAATTTCATTCAACGCACCCTCTTCTTCTTGTTTCTCTGAATCACCATTATCATTGGCTCCCAAAAAAGAACAAATAACCGAAGAATGTAGGTAACTTCTTGCCCTTGGGGAAGCTTGTTAACTATAAATTATTATCTCCATACACCATAGCATAATGAGGAGCTCTCTATGTAATTGTGAATCAAACTAGAGCTTGCACTCATTCTGGCCATGACTCTCGTAAGAACCATTAGCTCTTGGAGTTTCAACTCCTCCATCTGACAAATATTCACATTCATTCCAACAACTTCTCAGGAATTTCCCTCTCGAGTTGCATCCCTCCTAAGGAAACTCTTCTTTGACCCCATAGTTATTCACAATCGAACTGCAGATGCTCGCACTGCCTAACACAAAATTTGCACTACAGTATCTATCAAAATGCGATCTGTCATAGGAGGAAAATTTGGACAAAGCCGACAAAGAATCACCAACATCATCGTCAGAGTAGCAATCCTGTCAAGGATACCACTCATTGGAGGGATTTGGAGGGGAGCCTCAGTTCATTAATCATAAAAAAATAGCATAATAACAAGACGATGTCTTTTTGTAGAATTTCATCACTCCATATATCATCCTGTCTAGTAATTAAACGACCAATTCTTTTGGATATGTTCGTATCAGCAAAAAAATTTTGGTCTCATGGGATAGAGTTTTGCGCAATTTCGCTTTCAAGCAGGGGACAATTAAATTCTAGATCAAATTGACTTTCAGAAAGCGGCCAGAGAGACTTACTCAAATCAAAGCATTGGTATTTGATGGCTTGAAACCACTTTACTTAATTATGCAAAAATATTTAAGCCATTCCTTCAAAACTCTAATCTTTCTCCTCCTTTCAGTTTGCTCCTACCAGAAACCATTTATGTGAATCCACTTTTTATGAGTTCTTCCGTGCCCTACTGTTCGGAGCAAATCGCGACTCTATCGCAAGGGTTCAGTTACGAAGGCGAGTGTTTCGGGTCGAGAGGGAAGGGTGTCGTGAAGTTGATTCTATCGCGAGGGAGACGAGGCGAAGGGTTGTTTTGGTGTTTAAAAACAGGCAAAAATATGTTTTCCTGTTTTTAATATTTTAAAATCAAAAGTGCTCTAAAAAAATAAAAAAATAGAAATAAGACAAAAAACAGATAACCAAGCACTGTTTTTATTTTTGTTTCCTATTTTTTGTTAAAAAAAACAAAAAACAAAATTTGATCTCATGCAACACCTAAATCTTCTGTTTTGAGAATTGTGTGTTGATTCACCCGAGGCTTACTACTCTCCTTACTAAGACAACATGCCTGGGTTTCTGATTTAGCATTTTTAAACTATGTTTTAATCTGAATTTAAATGGTCTGTCATTTGCAAGGCACAAAAAGACAAAAGACTTTGTAGAAGCTTCTAAATTTTTTTCCAGGTGTACTTGTCCAGTCAAGTATTATCATAACTCATAAGTCTCAAAGATGCTCATTTTTGCCATTTAATCATTGGTTTATGAGCTTAGATCATATAAATAATAATTCTGGTAAATATATTCCATATATAAGTCTTTTCCTAGCCACAAGTAAATAAGTATGGCCAATGGATCTTTGATTATCATGGCTGACCAAGGAGACGTTTTTTAAACAATTTTTTTACATTATGAAATGTCCTTCACATACCGATATTATTTTTCCATCTATTATTCATTCAAAAGTTAAGGATTCAACATGCACTATTTTGCTTTGTAATTTATATTGTCTTGTCGGATAGGGCATAACGAGGACAATTAAATTTACTAAATAGAGGAATAGTTTCTACCATCTTTATGAAACCAATGACAAGCAAATTTCAGATAGCTTTCAATATGATCTCTTTTTTTGAAACTCCTAAATTAAACAAAGAAAAAAATTGGCTTTAACACCTACGACTTAGTTACTCATATTTTATTTTCCCAAAATTTCTTCTGTATTTAAAGATATTAATATTGAAGAATTTTATTGTGATGTGTTTGAATTAGCATGTGTAAAAATTTTTCAATGAGTGACAAGCTTTCTTATACATTTTTTATTCTTGGTGATATTTGGAGGCTATTATATACACCTAATGTTTTTGAGACTCACTGGTTTGTGCCATTTATTTTTGACTATTGTTGTGTGTGATTGATCTTTTAGATTTAATCAAAAGCGATGCAAGTATTATCTTTCTTATATGCGTAACATAATAAAAAATCAATTTGATGTTGAATTGAGAGAGTTAGCTCCTCTTATGTCTGAAGCTATTTTATCCATTCTCTTTTCATACTTTCAATAAAAGCGAATTAAACATAATCATGTTATGTATATGCATCCTAACAAGATGGAGTGACTGCATAAAACAATGATCTCATATTTGCTATCAAAGGAGCAATTCTTTTCAAGAAAACCATCCCAAATTAATATTGGGGAAAATAATTCAAGATTCCTACATAAGTTTCAACTAAATTATTCTCTCATTTTAATACTTCAAACAACCTTTGTACTCAAATATTTGAAATTGTTGCCTTTGTTTGCTCACATTCTCAAACTAGTGAAAATAATTGAATTCTTCTTGGTCATTATTTTCCACCATCAGAAGGATATGTGTTTGTTGATGCCATTTTTAATGAAATGGATCACTGTTTTCTTATTACTATTGAAATAATACAACAACAACAACAACAACAAAGCCTTAATCCCACTACGTGGGGTCGGCTACATGAATCCTTTTTCTTCATTGCGTCCTATTTAGTGTCATATTTTCATTTAGTTCTAGTAAATTAAGATCATTTTTAATACAATAGCCCAAGTCTTCCTAGGTCTACCTCTGTCTTTCTTAACACAAGTCGAATCTAAAATATCTACTCTCCTAATCGGATCATCAAATGGTCGACGTTTAATGTGACCAAACCATCTAAGACGACTTTCTCTAATTTTGTCTGTCACAGGAGCTACACCAACCCTATCACGAATATATTCATTCCGCATTTTGTCTCTAAGTGTAAAGCCACTCATCCACCTAAACTATTGAAATAATACAATTAAAAATTAATTTTTTTAGATTTTCTTTTTTTACTTTCTTCCTAGAAAACAAATCTATTTCAGAACCAAACAGTCATACCTAAATTGAGCCTATTATGCAACTATTACTCATTCAACTATTGCATGTTTACTAAAAAAGGAATGCATCTCAATCTACATAATTCTAATTAACTTAATCGATTAATATGTCATTGAGTTTGCTAAATGATCAAATGAGCCTGCTAATAAAGGTACAAAGCTTCGCACACAAAATATTCCTTATTTTGTCACACTAAAAATTTCCTCATATTCATCAATCTTTTCTTGCTTGCTTGAATATTATTTCCATTTCCAAAGTAGTTTTTGAGGTTCTGAATAATATGGATTGGAAGAATGTTATGAGTGAAAAAAATTGAAGCCCTTCAAAAAAATAAAATATAGGAATATGAAAATTTACCATAAGGAAAGAACTCAGTGGCATATAGATTGGTTTTAATATAAAACATAATTTGAAGGTTATTAAACATGTTTAAAGTAAAGCTAGTAGTCAAAAGTAAAATATGCAAGATTGATTATCTGTAAAAAATTGCTACATTTTTTTAAATAAACATTGTCGGAGTTCTATTATGTATAGCGTTTAATAGGGATAGAATGCATTTTTGTATGATGATCTAGAAGGGAAAGTATATACCAAGGTTCTATCAAAATTTGACTCAAATATAAAATTAAATGTAGGTAAGTTAAAAATGTATTGCATATTTTGAAGCTAAAAATGTATTGCATGGTTTGAAACAATCACCAAGTGTATGATTCAAATGGTTTGCTATGGTAATGCTTAATATGTGATGCAAACTACGTCAATGAGATGATATATTATTCGTGGAACACATGGACAATGATATTGTAATAGGTAGTGATTTGGAAAAAATGAAGAATTAAAGATTTTTTTTGCTAAAAAGTCAAAAAAAAGTTGGGCAAGTTAAAATGTATATTTTTGACGTTTGTGCTGCACACTTTCAAATGAAATATTCACATCACAATTAACAATAGATAACACAACAATAAACGAAATCTCTTATCAGAATGATAACACGACTTATTTTTCTTATACCATATTGTACTTAACATGTCATATTTGTTTATGTGGTGAGTTAATTCACGTGCAATGCTAAATAATCTTAAATCATGCACAAATATAAATTATGTAGGTTTTATGATTAAAAGGAGGTTAGATTCAGGATATTATTCAGGCAATCTCATGACTCGGTTAAGTAAAAAGGTAGCAAAATCTAACACATGAGGCGAATTTAAATTTATAGTACTATGAATACGTGAATTGCTTTGTTTAAAATTTTTTTTATAAGATTTAAAAGTTCACCGCGATAAAAAAATTAACTATCAATATTGCATGTAATTCTGTGTAGCTTCACTGATAAAACATAATTGTGTTGGTAGGTACTCTGTATGGTAGAAGCTTGATTGTTATCTAGTTTGTATTCCATTCATAAAAAGAAGTGAATATTTGTTGACTTTTGTTCAGAAGTTTATCAAAGATAATCTTTTAAAAATTATCATACAAATTTGGAATGGGATGACTCATAAATCGTTTGAGAGGGAGTATGAAATGCTTGCATAATTTTTGCCACTTAGAACTGACACTTGCCAAGATTTCTACTCATTCATTTATCTTTTGCTGCAGTTTCATTTATTAATGGGATTTCTTCTATTCATCAATTATAATTATTCTATATTATTTTGCCTTTTCAATTAATTCTCTCAATTTCTTGTCAATATGAGATTTCTATGGCGTTTGACTTGTTTATCTTACAGAGGCTTTGGGGAACGGGACAAGTGGATTACAGCTGGATTGCCATAAATTTGTTGAGTTACTTTTTGTTTTAGAATTTAATAGCGATTTTGAGCTCTGGTTGTCTTGAAAGGCTTTTCCTCCACCTAGGTTTTTTGGTAGTGAGCATGGCTTAAATAATTTGTGATTTTGTATTATTTGTGCATCTAATTTCAGGAAATCTTAGGACTGTTAAATTTGAAATTGATTTGGTTGTTTTATATACTTGATTTGTGTTAACCTTGAAGATTGTTTGAACGTAAGCAGGAAATTCTTGAATATTTGTGGCCGGATTTATTAAAATTCCAAATTTAGCAAATTTTGATTTTAGCTTAAATTCCCATAATACGTGTTCTTTAAAAACATGGCAGGATCTACCATACATCCCATTTTGAATCCCATTACTAAACTGAAAGGATTAGGGCTTATTTGGGATCTTTTTTTTGTTTTTATTTTAAAACAAATTTTTTAGTGTATTTTTTTACATGTTTTATTTTTTGTATTTAAAAAGAAATTATTATTTTTTAGAATACTCCATGCTTCTAAATTTTTTTAGTGTTTTTAAATACAACTAAATATGTTATGTCATACTAAATTTGTTTTGTTTTAAATCGAAAAAAAAAATCACAAAACAGTCCCTTTGATTATTATTTTTGGTTCATGAAAAAATTTTCCCGCATCATAACTCTATTCTTTTTGTCTAACTTCTACACATTGCAAGAAAAATGTTTTTGATTGATCTCTAGAGTTGTTTTACCTTTTTGTTGTAACCTATTAAAGTAAATACTGTTTTTAATTGAATGCGTGTGCTAACTTTGGTGGATGTTGATGTTATCATTTACTTGTTGTGTAAAATTGTGTTTTGGCCAGATTTTAAAATAATTAAATAAGAAATCATTTTTAACATGTGCTAGCTGTGCCTTCTTTAAGGGATGCCTAAGGTTGTCATGTTTGCAACCGGCTGCCAAGATGGTGTCCCTAGTCACCTTCTTTATGAGTATAAGCTGCCAGTCAGGTTGTCTGCATTACAGCTGAAAAACATATCTATTCATATAAGAGGTAATTATGATCGCTTTTTTACTTCTTATATTTTGTTTTATTTTTTGTTAAAAATGGTTTGCCACTTGATTCTCTTAAATTTTTTCTTGTTTTTGACCATTTCATGTTTATTACAACTTAATCATTAACGTGATGCATCAAACATTACTATTTTGGCTGGTTTGTTTTTTTTTTTTTCAGTTTAACTTTGTATCTGATGGGATTAATAAAATGCTAGTTAAATGGCTTCTTTCAGCAAATGTCTTTGATTCTTCTCTGTTACATTGCATACATTCTGACGTGATACATTCATATGAATTTTGTAAATTTTATTTGATTTAGGTACAATGTCGGTTGTGCAAAAAGTTTGTCAGCCAGGGGGATGAAGTTCTTTGTTCAGTTCAGTTGTGTCGACATGCCTATCACAGGACTTGCATTAACTTGAAAGAAGGATCATCAAAGCACTTTAAGTGCCCTCAACACGTGAGGTTCTTTTGATTTTGTTGTGTTTTCCTATATTATTTCATTTAGTTTGTGCAAGTTCAGTTATAAATTACTTAATTATGTTTTTTTTTTTTTTTTTTTGGGGTGCATGCTAATTTTTTGGAGTGCATGCTAATTACTTTTCTCCAACTTCATCCTCTTGTCCTTGAAGAAAACACAGTTTTAAACAATGATTTCGTTTTTCTTACTGTATATTCTTATATTCCAAGAAAATTCACTTTGATGAAAAAAAATTAAACTTGGGACCTTTTTTTTTAATTTGTCTGTCAATGCTAGGCTGTCATTCAATCGTAATAGCTAAGTTGAAATTATACGGCTTTCTACCTTCATTCTGCCGCAAAGTTGAATGCACAATTTCAGGGATGATATGACTAAAATAAACCTTATCATGGACAGTATGTAAACAGTGAATAGCCAAATTTTTGCTTTTCTTTGAAAAAAATTTCAACACTGCTTAGCCCTAAGTTTTAGGGTTGCCGCAAAAGCTGTTAATATCATATTTCATATTTTCCATATTTTAAAAGGTAATTATGTTAAAATGTGCAAACTTGTCAAGCGGTATAGGTAGACTTTTTAACCACTCAAGTACAAAATATTCTTGGTGAGTTAGCTTGAACTCATATATTTCTTTGCTCAAACAGGCTTGTTTCAATTGCAATCGGAAAAACCATTGGCATTGTGTTCGATGCTTCATATCATTTCATGTTAAATGCTCTCCTTGGCCTGATGATGTGGTTTTTCTTGCAAATCGGCCCGGCCGAGCCATCTGCTGGAGACACCCATCTGATTGGCATTTGGATAAGCAGGTCACTTCCTTCCTTCATCAAGATGTTTTTTGTTTATTTTTTCAAGTTTTATTGAACATAAGGTCCACGATGGTGGGTATATGCCATATTGTATAAAGTGAGATCTGATTCAACCTTTGCCTTCAATCACATTTTAATTTATGAATATATCAAAACGATGTGATAAAAATAAAAGCATGTAGCACTATACGACCATGTACTATTTGTGTTTTGCTTGCACGCAATTATTTTTTTATCCCACTCTACCTGTACTTTTGAATTCTGTGAGTTTTGATTTTTTGATCAAATTTCTAGAAGATACTTCTATTTGATTTTTATGGCATAAGTGCATTAGCTTAATTCTGTAAACATGGTTTAGGATTTTTTTGTTGTTATTTCAAACAATTTTGGTTAGAAGTGTTATTTGCAAAAATAGGAGATTTTTACTCTTAGAGTTCCTATAGTACTTTTTTATTTGATTTCATAGCCTTCAATTAACATGGTTACTTCATTGGTAAACATTTGATATGCTTTTATGTGACAATTACAAAATGGGTCATTTTCTTTATTCTAAAGAATTCATATTGTTTGTTGCATTTTTCACTGAGAAGTCAAGGCTAAAAAGCGGCGAATGGAAAACCTAGGTTTTAAGTTTTGAAGCGCTGTAACCCTGAAATAGGGATTTGTTGTTATGCCTTGCTATTCTCGGACGAATCAAATTGGTTCGCTCTAATTTTATTTTAATGGTTCAATGACCCAATGAGTTGAGCTTGCTAAAACCCGAAGTCAAGTTTGTTCACTTAAACAAGTAATAGGTTTTGCTCTATCTTAAGCTGGTGGCTTGATATGTTTGCTCATAAGCTTGTGATTGAGTCAAGCTTGAATCGACTTGGCTCACTCGCTCATTAATACAAATTGATGATAGCATGTGCATAACAATACAAAATATATTTTTTATGCTTATGATTTGATGCTAAATAGTCAAAAACATATAATGTCACAAATTCTATGGATGAGTACTCTCAAAAGGAAACTCAATGAACCATGATTTGAGGTTTTAGTGGAATTTTACTCGATAAAATTTTAGTGAATTAAGTATGAGTGTATTTGATGTTAATATTCCTATACTCTCTAATTTTATGAATCCAGGTAAAGAATATTCTGGTGATAGTTATTGTTCACCGCATCAAATGAATTTTTTGGTGTACTTGATACCCAATATGTACTAATTTATCATGCTATTAATAATGGGGCTGATGATGTATTTCCTTTGTTATTATTTATATTACAAGAATATTTTAGTGATCTTTTATACCTTTTTATTAGTGTATTCTATTTAGGAGAAATTAAATCACTAAAATATTTAGAGAAGAAAAAGAAAGATGATATGTTGGGAGAATTTTTTATATTTAAATAGCTTGTATATTATTTCATAATCATCTCATTACAATATTTAAGCTCCATAGGGATTTCTAGATACAATGTTATTTTAAGCAATGAGCTATGACAAGATTATCTGAGGATCACCATTTAAAATTGGTTGTTTTACTTATAATATATTAATAAAAACAACCTATGGATGTTCATAGTCTAAACTTGATCTATTCGGTTTATCGAAGATGTCAAGCTTGGGAAATGACTATAGTCGACATCAGAATGATAAGTTATATTGAGCAATAATATATTGAAAGCAATTATCAACTCTAGCTTAAACCATTTCACCATGGCACTAGGGTATTTGGCTTAGTCTAGTGTCTAAGTACCTGACCTAAAAGTATTTAACTTAATCAGGAAAATGAGAAGCAACTTCAGTTAAGTAGATCCGATTCTAAGTGAGAAGCAACCTAGGAATATTGAGCGCAAAGTGAGGGATGTTACTTATATGGGGAGTCAAACCCCACAGGTAACATAGTATACAACAATGCTTTTGTTGTAGTTATCATTACCTAGTCTTCAAACATCAAAACAGAAGGTGTCAGCTAACATCTGCATGCTACCCTATATAGTTAGGGGAGCATTGATTTACTAGGATATTGGCTGAGACCATCACATGAGCCACAAAAGTAATCTACACTACTTTGTCTAGGACAAAATGAGTTTTTGTACCTATATGTACATGGTACAAATATGTTAAACATATAGAGTTGTAGAGCAATCACTGAATTTGCTGAGTATATCTATGTGGGGGACACAAGTATTACATTGTACAATTTTTTCATTTAAGCGAACAAATTAGGATTTTAATAACTAGATCCTAAGTTCTATAAAACATCAAGTTGTAAATTTATGTTATCTAGCACATCATATGGGCTCTGTCTAATACTTAGACTTATAGTAACTAGATGTGAGAAGCCTTGTTACTCCTTGAATTGTAGAACTTTGGGTAATTGGTATTTCTATAGCTTCTAGTATTAAAATTATTTATAAGATTTAGGGTTACGGTTTACACTGTGTTGCTTGTACCTTTTGATCTGTCCATTTTTTAGGGGTGCTTCCAAAGGTATCCCCACTAGGAGCTTTTTTGGAGACACCAATATGTCTCAAGCATCAGTCACAAGGCAATGCAGGGATAATAATTGTTGTGGTGGATTATATTTAGTCATGTACCTATTTTCTGATTAATAATCTATTGCAACCATTTAAAGAACTATGCATTTTGCATAGAACTAATTTTGTAATAGATTGTGGATAGTTGGATGTTTCTTACTCTCCTGCAATAGTCTAAGGTTTAAACCCCAAATGTGACATCCATTCTAACTTCCCCTATGGTATGAGCAAGTGCTAAAGAAATCCACCATCCCTCTGATGATTTGTTTGTTTTATTTGACAAATTTCATGCTTAGAAACTTAATCCGCCACTTCGTTATTAATCTTATTAGCCAATCTAGTAATTTCTTGTCTTTATACATCTTAGTGCTGCCTAGATGAATGGTATAGCTAGATAGTGAGTTTTCTTTAAGATCTGTTCTCTCAAATCTAAGTTATCTGGCACCTATTATAAAATATTTCATCCAATCACTCTTTAGTGGCACTCTAAATCTTTTTTGCTTTCTTGTTGGAATCTCCTTTAGTAGCTTTTAATATTATAATTAAACTGAAAACATTGTGATTGGATATAACATGACGATGTCTATGGTCTCTTGTTCTCTAATCTTCACCACAATGTATATCTTCATCATAATGATTTGATTGCAAAAGCTTATGTTTTCAGATCGCTGGACAGAGGAAGCACAATGAATGTGGAAAAAATCTTTTAGAGATGGAGAAAAAAGATTGGCCCATAATCTTGACATTTCTTGTGGAAGAATTTAAGGGATAGAGAATTTGAGCACACAACAAGTGTCTTCTCTAAAAGAAGCAAAAAAAGTTAATTTTAATGCACAGAATTTGAGGTGATTCAAACCCGAAATTGGGATACGACAAAAAGTTGAGAGGTGGTATAGTGTCTAGGTGTCAGAAGCAAAACCTTGAATGAATTCTTTTCTTATTTGTTCAAAATGGCATTGGCCCTGCATGACACTTGACTTTTATACTTGATGCACGGTTCACTTTGAAATGAAAAAAAATTGTCCTAAAATGTTAGCAAATTTCAAAACATGCCCAAGTGATGCTCATCACAGTTTTTACTTGAGCAATTGAAATAATTTTGTGTGAAAACATAAACTATAACGATGGATTATAACTTGCAACGATGGCACCCTATCCCAAACTTGAAGAACCATAAATCCAATGAATGATTCACAGTATTTGATTTTTTTTTTATTTGAACTGCAAAAGAGCTATTTTTGCTGTCAAGTGCTCTTTAAAGGGCTATACTTGATGTCTTTATTTTTCTTTTCCCACGGGCTTTTGTTTCTTTCTGTTGCATTTTTATGCATATGTGACAAACTGAAAAGTGATAATTCTTCTTGTTTTGATTATTTTTGTTTCCATGGTTCTCCATTCTTATTTTTTATTAATTAGGTTGGCTGATTGGAATATTCTTTGTTGGATAACAGCATGCAGATCCCACAAGTGACTTGGAGGTTAGAGTATGATTTTTATTTTTGTCCATTTTAAATTTTTTTTGTGACTTGTTTTTATGCTGCTGGTTTTTACGTCTGGAAATTGCTGTACAATTTGAACTTTTGTCTTCGAAGTTGTTTTAGATTTTAAAAACCATTGTTCAAGACTCATGTTAATGCATTTCTGAAACATTTTGTCTTTTATGAATCTGTATTGTCTTCGTGTTTACCTGAAATTTTTGGTCTGGTGGAACGGTTTCTATTAGCTAGAAGTGTAGGTTATTGAGTTCCGTGTAAATGTAAAACTGACAAATTTTTAAAATCCTTTAATTCACAGGAAGTGTTCCATCGTTTACCTCTTCCATATATTGACGAGGAGTTTGAGATTGGTTCAATTGTGAATGATGTTCTGGAGAACATTACCGAGCCAGCTCCTTACATACATATCAAGCGCAGTATCCTTGAGAGAGTGCGCAACAATGTTAATCATTGATTTGCCTTTGTAGTAAAATAGTACTGAGCTGTTTCAACAAATTCTTATTTTTTAAAGATTGCTACATGACAAATTTGTTCCTTAATGGTGAAAGATGTATATTTGGTGAAGAGGAAACGTGTTGGTGCCGATGCTAATGTCGGATGCACAAATTGCAATGCAAATTCTGACTGTAGTGAGAACTGTGAATGCAGGTTGAACACTATAAGTCACTAGATAATACTTTGCCAATTTTATTATTTTGGTTGACCAGTATCTTTAGCTTCCACTGTTCTATAAGCAAATTGGATGGAAATTTTGGTTCTTTAAGACTGCTAAAATTTTCTTCTTAAATCTTTACATTATATCCTCAGTATAATCAACCACTTTATTCATGATTAGTTGCCCTTAATTTTGGTTTGGATTTTCTTCTAAACTGGATAAGCTTAACAAAAAATTATTAGTATTTCTTTTTATGTATTGCATTTATGTAATGCATTTCATCAGAAACAACGCGATACGAGGGGCAGCTTGTTATTAGTGAAGTTGATACAATTTTTCATTCCTTAGTTTGATACATTTAAAATGAAGCAACTTTACTGTCATCTTTGTGCTTTATGGTGATATTTATGTTAATTTCTCTTTCAGTGTGGTGTAACATATGCCACGTCCAGTTGGTTGAGACATACCAGATTGCCACTTCGTCAGAGTTCTTTAGAATAGAAATTTCACATTCAATTTTTTTTGTTGTTGTTTCATACTATCTTCTTAGACCATAATAAGCTGCTCATGCAATGCCTATAGTTTATATTTGGGTTTAGTGCTTGCTTTTTATTTTATTTTGCCTTTATGTTTCGGAGCATGCAACTATGTACTTTTGTGTGAGGATATGTGCATTTTTTTCTCTTAAGCTTACAACTGCAATGTAGCTTGGCAAACAAGAAGTTTTACTTGTCTTTGTTTCACCGACCTTTAGTTTTCTATCAGCAGAAAATTAATATAGTTTAATCTTATTTAGTTATTTGTAGCTAACAGTTGCAACTGAGATTAATGTCTTTTGCAATGTTCATATCGGATGCAAATTACATTTTTATGATTATTGAATATATTATGTAGCGATCATAACTCATCATATAAGAAAGCACTTGCCTTCTTTTTAATTCTCTCTGTGGAATGGATATCTTCATTTTGCAACTTTTACCTGAAACTATGGCCTGTGTGACTTACAAATTTTGTGTTGGTATGTGCGAGAACAACCCACCCTCCTAACAAAAAATGCTCACAGAGTTTAAGGGTTTTCTGGTGGTATAGGTTTAATATGGAGTGATAAGATATTTTTGGGTAGGAAGCCTCTTAAGATGACAAAAAGGTTGTGGAATGAAGAGGTTAGGGCTTCGGCGAAGGGATTAAGGAAAAATAATAAGTTCTGGGTTGGCCAGATATGACTTCAGGTCTTTGGTATGGAAAGTATGTGCAACCCTAGTGCTTGAAGCCATTTAGAAATCTTAGATTGCAATGTCAACTATGCCTGGAAATTTTCATAAGTTTTTGTGGTGTTTTGGTACTTTCTCTTGATTTTATTCAGAGATTAGGTCATGCGGGGAACTAATCTTGCAGCAGGTTTTGGTTGGGATGTTTGGCCTTTTTTTATAAGTTTAGGGCTTAGAAAAAATTGGGAAGATTCTTATTAATGAAAGAAAAATGTGTCTGATTATTTCTTGAGTTTTTCATCATACTTTAAGAGATATAGTTTGATCGAAAGGCTTGCAGCTTAAGATTAGTTTGGATTAATTTGAGCCTAGGTCAACCTCTTTAAGAAGGAATCTGTTTAGGTTCTTGTGGGAGAAAGTTATGAAGATGATATGGTTATGTAGAGGAATAATAGAGGAAGATTCTCACAGTAAGAGCGAAGGAAAAAAAAATACTAATAAAACGTGCATGGGTGATCATCTACCGAAGCAATAAGGGTGTGGAAGATCACCAAATCTTCATCTTCTTAACTAGCTATCAAGCTTCCATGTTTTGGAAGAAACTTGAATTTTTTTTCAACATTCAGCAACCTTTCATTCAGCCAAAAATAACTAATAAATTTGCATGTATTTAAACCCTAATGCTATTAAGGAGAAACCAAATGAGGGAAAGAGGGAGGGGGCTGCCATGGTTGAAAGGAGGGAATTTGAAGCCCTTGTCTTACCCTTTGGCTATTTCGATTTAATTAATTGATTAGTTGCAGGTATTACAGTTAATTTCTTCCCCCATGATTATGGATAAATTTTCTCATAATTTGAAAATTTATTTTCTAATAAAATTTAAAATTTCAAACTTTCCATATAATTCTACAACAATAAAACCTATACATTGTCTTGCAAATTACTATTAAATTATTACAAAATACTCTTAATCAAATTATGTCTTCCTATTGCTTTGACCTCTTGTGGCTGGAACGTGTCATAAATCATTTTAGAATTTCTTTTATAGGTACCCTTAAATTTATCAAATTGTGTATATTTCTTCCTAGTGATTTTAGCATAGTTCTTTTATGGAACTTTCGTGCAAGTTCTGGTTAGGACTTAGGATGGTACGAACCTTCCACTAATGGGTTGCAGATTTTAAGCTGTGTCAAAGAGAAGGTCTTGCTGCTAGTACTATATATAAAAAAAAAGAAAAAAGTAATATATAGAATTCCCTTATGCTTAGCCATGAATTCTGTCATTTATATCAAATAATTAATTTTCTTTCGTCTTTGATTATGGAACAGAGGTCTCTCACTCAGTTGTACTAAGGCCTGTCATTGCTCAGAAATGTGCACAAACAAACCATTCCGTAAAGAAAAAAAGATCAAGGTTGTCAAGGTCAGAAACATTTCTTTTATCTGCACTCGGTAATTAAATATTAGTCTTCTTCTTCTTGTAACATTAACAGGAATTGTTTATGTCTTTCTCTTTAACTTTGTTACTTACGAATATTGTACTATATATGTCCAAGTGTTTTTTATGTCTAAGCGCGTGAATTAAATTATTTAACTGTTAAAATAACCATAGAAGGCTAGTTATGAACTACAATTTGACGTTTTTAGTTGATTTTTTGTTGTTTTCTTATATTAATTATGTGAATCAATGGTCAATTTTTGTTCTATTATTTTTCCATAGGGGTGAATCGTCTCAGATGTAACTTTAATCTAGATTATGGTAGTGTATTGTGAGCCATTTGCTGTGACACTAGAAAAGAAATGCTTGGTTGTATTAGTTGTATCCATACTTCTAATTGTGTAAAGCATGCATTTTTGATTGCTGGAGTTTTGTCAGAAAAGGAAGGATGATAACTATCATTTATTTCATGATATTTGACCATTAATTGAGTCATTGACTTATACGACCATGACTAACTTTTGAGTCATTGTTGGTGTAGATTTATTGCGCCTGTTTGACTTAGATGGCTAGTTTTTTTGCCTATAAAGTTATCTGTGCCTTTTCCATTAATCTAGACTTATAGAATACGTGGTTGCTATTAGTGGTGTAAACGAGTTGAGTTCAGCTCAAGCCACCCTTAGTTTGAGCTTGAGTTTGATTAATTAATCGAGCTCAAGCTCAAGCTTAATTCTACGAGTTTGAGCTGGCTCACGAGCCGGTTCGTTTAATTTGAAAGAGAGAAAAAAAGTATTAATCTAAGCTAGTGTTATAGTCAAATGACAAATAGAATAACCATTTAACAGATAATTAATAAGAAATCACTTGCTATAAAATATTAATTTTTTTAGTATTTTTAATAATTTAAGAAAATATTGAAATTTAATATATTTTAAGTATATTTTATATTAATTATTTGTTAAAAAAGCCGACTCACGAGCTAACGAGTCAATTAGAGGTTGGCTTGAGTCAGACTTGTTAGCTCATCAAGCTCAGTTGACGAGCCACTTATCGAGTCAGTCTCGAGCCCGCTCACGAGTTGGCTTGCCTCACTTACACCCCTAGTTGCTACAAGTGGTCTTTCATATACAATGATATTAACATGTTATTGATTTGAATTCCTTGATTCAATGTACCTAGGGCCACTTGTTGCTCCAATTAGATCACGATTCAATCGTCTCATTTGTTATGTTTTTTACCGTCTAAAATGGACGATTGAAGCATGAATAATCATTCTACTTCAGTTGATGATTGATGATGTGGATTCACTCGTATAATTAAGTATTAAATTGTATTGCTACACAAATATTTAATTGATTTTTTTTAATGATTTCATTAAATCTTTAGCAGGCATGTAATAGCTGTTAATATTATTTATTATCAATATATTTAAGTAATTTTCCATTACATAAAATTGATTTAGATGCAATCAATCAATTGTCAACTTTTAATACTTTTTAATGCTTTTTAGGTCTTTTTGTAACATTAAAGTTATTCTTTGATAATTTTTTTTATAATTACTAAGCTCAATTAATAAAGTTGATTAATCAAGCTTAGTCAATTTGATTAAATTTGTTCTATTAATTATTAGTTTTTATTTATCTTAATGACTTTTTTCAGAGTTGGGGCTTTAGACACTTGGTTACCCATAGTTTGTTTATTTGGTGAATTGTATATTCAGTTGATATGATACTCCTCACACACCAAATTTGAAAGGAAGTTATTGAAACCTATAAGGGTGCGAGTTGAAATTTACAAATTTATTCTACGAATAAAACCATATGATTTTAATAATATGAGTCCATAATAAGAATATCAGAGCATCTAAACTCATTAAGGCTTGTTAAGTTATTCACCAAATTAAAAATTTAAGTTAATATAATAAGTCATCTAAAGAACAAATTATTATTATATCAGTAAATAGTCAAGTTTTATTCTAAGGATGCCCTCCACTAGAAAATGCACAACTACTGACTTGAAAATAAAAATAAAAAATAAAAAGTGTGAGTTTGGCAGAGAAACTCATCAAGTGAAAGTCCTCTTGAGTCTAGGTATATGGCATAACTACGGGCAAAAATTGATATAGGAATAAAAATGGACATTATCTTATATTAGTTATGGATGGTATATAAAAGACTATATTTTTTAATATGGAAATTGTTTTATAATTCTTACTAAATAGCAAAATTCATTAAGAATTATCTTATGCAATCTAATGATCGTTGTTTCCTATTGTGAAGATATTCTCTTGCATGCAATTTATATTCATACATCCATTAATGACTTACTATTCATATTTCCTTCTATTTAGATATATGAAAGTTAAATGATTCGCCACTTTATGGGCTCGTCGGCCTAACTAAATAATATTTAAGACTTTAACCAACAATGTAATCTTCATACACACAAGCATACATCATATAAGCTTTTTGTTATAGTTAAGTACATAATTGATATTATAATGTGATCAAGCTCGGTTCTCTATGAATATAATTCATGATTTATATAAATTTCCTAGTAATCAAAATAGTGCAGATGAATTTTCTAGAATTTTGTGCAAAAATTAAGATCTAAAAAATGATTATCACATCAAGCTAAAAATGATTACATAAAATGCTATGAATAATTAGGCCCAATTCATAATAATTATCAATAGCATACCAAGAAATGACAATGAATTTTAGGATTTAGTGCACATTTATCTTTTACACACTAAAGCGACACCTACTTGACAAAGGTCAACATTGAGATAATGCACTAAATTAGGCCCAATTCATAATAATTATCAATTCAGAAACCACATATTCAAAATAGTCCATTATACATTCAGTATGTTGCACATCTAAACATGAACAACAAAAATAACCTTTTAAGCATATTTCACTATATAATGATTTAAATAATTTTCAACTAATTTATACTCATCTTTAACCCATAGTAATCATATAAGGATCTTCTCAACAATAGTCATCTCTCTATCATAATTTTCTTATAAGTATTATTCTTAAAGCAACCCCATTAAATCTTTGCTAAAATACTAATTTTAATATCACATATTCGTATTTATAAACTAGTTTCTATTTTGTTGGCATGAAAATTCCATTAACTTAATATTCACTACACCAGCAAATGCTTCTGTCAAGTTCATGTCTGGGGAATTTGTTCTTCAGCATATAAAGAATATTTTCATCTTTGCTTGAACTCATTATAATTAATAAATATGCACCTATCAAACTTCTATCTAGTTTATAAGGAATCTATCTTAGTTGTGCACAAAATGAATTGCATTGAAAACTCAATTATAAGAAATATTATTCTTACTATGAATTTTTTAGATATTTTTTAATGAGTATTATTAATTACAGGAACTCTGTACGCTATTCTTAGATGCATTAAAAAATGCATGTATGAAAATTTTTTGTTTGTTATGAAGGAAGGAATAAAATTAGGTTTGATTTTTGGTTTTTTTATCATATCAATTGGTTTTTAGTAGGCCGCCCAGCATTGCCTTAATTTATCCCGAGTTTCACCGCAAAATTTCTGAAATTGATTTAGGGTTAAAAGATTACCTAATTGCTTCAAGAAGGAAGATCTTGATGGTGTATGAGGCAGAAGAAGGCGAAAAAGACATGAACAATTTCTTCCATTTTCCCTTACTTGGCATGCTCTCCATCAAACCCGTTTTAGCCACTACCAAGGTTGTTGGACATTGAATCAGGAGCTCATCTTACTTGCTCGTGCTCATGCTCATGCGACACATGCTCTGAGACATGGTGCAATTACTCCCATACTTGAATGTTTGTAATCTGGCACTCTTTTGATCCCATTTCGATCCTCTTGCTTACTTATCTCTTTTGATTTGAGATTTATTAAAGAGGTGATGTGGTGAGGTGAATTGGAAAGATTGGTTCGGACCATATATGGGTTATTGCATATTCTACGTGTAGATACTTTGCTCGTTGTACATGTGACTAGTTGTTCCTTTTGGGCTGGATTTGTATTGTTCATGAATCTTGACCTTGGTTAGTGTTTTATCCAAACTTTTACATTTCAAAATCACTTGGTTAGTGGGCTTTCTTTGAACTCAGTTTTTATCTTGTTTGACTTATGCTGACTAAATTTGAGCTTACTGTGGATCAAATTCAAGTAAAGTTGTTTTGTTTTGGGATTTGGATTCCTTCAGTAGGGAAATGGCCCATGATGAAGCATCTCTCAATGTTGTCACTCTTTGGGGCATTGAGATGGACCGCCTCTCAGAACAAGTTGGGTTGGGTCCACGATCGTGGCAGCCATTTCTAGCTTGTGGACCACAGCCATGTTTTGTTTTGCGCCCAAATAGAGCCCAATTATAAAATATTAATTGGTTAAATATTGGTAATTTGATCTTTACACAAGAACCCCATAGTTTATCTTTATAGAAAAATTATCACAAGTTACTTCAGATAAGTTTGGAAGTTTACAAGAAATTATGGTTTGCTCAAAACTAGTGTAATTACTCATCAAATGCTGATTTGTTCAGAAAGCCTCAAAATGTACGAATTGCTCCATTTTACCTAAGGTTGGGTTTGATCATTTTTCATAGGATGTCTTATAAATGATTATCATAAATTAGTTTTGTTACAAATGTATTGATGAAATTAAATGAACTTTATCTTCAGCCTGCATAAAATCTCATTTGATGAACCAGCTACAAGATAAACTATCATAAGCTACTTATTTTTTAGATAGTTCTACTTGCATGGCGAAGGAACTTGTTCCTATATGCAAAAACTAAAAGCAGGAAAACTCATTAATAATCACTGTTTTTATATTTGAGTGATCTCTAGAATTTCTAATGCAGTTAAATTTTCTATATTTGCTCTTGATTTGCATACCCCCAAAAGCTTCCCTTTTTGCTCGCATGTATTTGCATATACTGCATGCGCCTGCTAAATATTTAAAAAACTTTAATTTTTCATTCCTTTCAAATGTATGAAATAAAAACTTATTTTAAACTTTTAAAATATAGCACATGTATTTTACATAGCATACTCATTTATCATACATAATTTATGTTTTATTTTGATTTATCAAAAATAAAATTTGAGTTAACGAAATTAATATTTTAATTTTCAGTTAAAAAATTCCTTATGCAAAGTGTGGTGTAGGCCATCAAAATGCATCGTGTATTTTTCTGGGGCAGTGGAATTCATATTGAAATAAATTACTGAAGATATATGTTGGCCCGGTGGTTTCGTATGTTTCTTCAAATAAGCCATAAATGGAATTGACATTTTGATGATAAATTGTCTTGCTGTATATCTGCTGTAAATTAAAATAAAGTTTTCATTATTATGTTTGGTACCTTAACTTCAACAGTAGTATGTTTAATATATGTTCTCTTGCAGACAAATTTGTGTGGCTGGGGTGCAGTTGCCTTGGAGACCATTGAAAAGGGTCGTTTTGTGGTAGAATACGTTGGAGAAGGTTTGATTTTACTTCTGAAACTTCTTTTAAATTTTCTTTTAGCAGCCAGTTGTCATATTCAGACTATTTAGGGTTATTTCAAACAGTTCTTCACTGTTCAGTTTGTATAGAGCTACATTTCTTATTTCTTTGATTTATTGAATGATTTTGAACTTTTTCCCACAGTTGTTTTTCCCTTGGGTCTCTTTGTATGACTTTTAGTGCACTCAATTGAGCTCACAAAATTAATTTCATTTATCGATCAATTAATCAAATGTAGATCACCAATCTTTATGATTTTTAGAAATATATTTACAAGGATAATACTAAATTTTAATTTCAGTTCTTGTTGGTTCTAATCTCAAAAAAAATATTTATATTCAAATTTATTGTTATCCAAAGAGGATAATTATGTCTAATTAAAATGTTAATTAAGGAACATTAAAATTCAGACAAAAATATAAATATGGGCATATAAATGCTTAAAAACCGGACATGTTCTGCTTTATGTTGTGGCTTGACTTTACTCCTTGTGATTGGCCTATGGACAATTGGATTTTTATATGTTGATTTTGATTGATTATTAGGTAGTATTGCAACAATTCCTTTCGGAAAGAATTCTATTTTGCGGAACTAGGGACCATTACTCATCCAAGAAGTTAGGCGCCAGCTTTCCAGTTCATCCCTTGTCGTTCATGTATCATCTATATTAAATATGCCTTGCCCACTGACTAGAAGTCTATGCTCAATTTTTTTTTTCTCAAGTATCATTTCATATAAATAATACTCATCATCCAATGTAGGCATGTTGAAATGACATGATCTATTTTAGACATTTATCCATATCATTGTGTCTGGTTGAATGTTATAAGCCAAGTGGATGGTTATGCAAGAGGCTGAACAAAATGAAAGAAGCAATATGCACTAATGAGGTAGTTTGTCAGTTGAATGCTTAGATAAGAATGGTGGTTGTAGGAAGGTGGGGTTTTTAAAACTTAGTTTTGATTAATTTATTATTATTTTTTTTTAAATAGAGAAGGGGTCAAGGGATAGGGGATAGGTTTATGCACTAGATGGGAGTCAAGTGATTTAATGATGGGCTTTATGAGAATTGGGATGGATTGTCTTCGAATGGGTAGTGATGATAGGAGCAAAGGCTTCATGAATAAAAATCAAAGGAAGGATTGAAATATTAATTGAATCATGTTTTGAAGCAACCTACATAGTTTTTAGCTATAAATTGACACTTTGAATTTTGATATCACGATCAATTGACCTCCCTAAATAAATTTTAGTAATGAATTAATTAAGCAGTTAATTCTTAAGTATTTACATACATACCACCTAATTCGTAGGTGTTTACATATCTAACACCTAAACTTTACGTTTCACGTATATACCACACAAAATTTTTATATCACATCAAAAATACCACTATTTTAACTTTTGAAACGTAAAATATACTTTTTCGTACAAATGTAAGGTGGCATAAATGTAAAAGTTGAAGTTTAGGTGCTAGACATGTAATTGCATAGAGTGGTATGTATGTAAATCTTCATTTGTTTTTTTTTTTTAATTTCTTAAGTCTAATTCAATTCTGACTGCCTTGTAGTGAGCTGATATTCTGCCACATTTTTTAGTCATTTCTAACACCCACTGTCTACTGTCAACTTAATAGCTGAAACTAAATCTTCATTTTTTAGTCATTTCTAACACCCACTCATTGCACATCATTGAAACCACTTCTCATTTTTGGTTTTGTTGGAGTTTTTTAAATTATTTATTTCTACTGCATTTATAATATTTCATCACAAGAGTATTACATGAATTCCTCTGCTTATAATCCATCTTTTCAGAGCTCATTTGTATTTCCACGTTTTTTGAAAATAAATCCAGGTTGCAGGATCTTAAACCTACTACACTTGGAAGCAATTTATTAGCTCACCACTACTGCATGCCATGTCATTACTTTTTATATTATATTTTTTGCATCCATAGTTGAGTTTCCTTTAATTGAGCCTATGCTCGTTGAGAGAAACACCCACCCTTTTAATGCAAGTTTCGAGTAATGTTAATTTGAAATTGGAGTTTAAAACTTTGGAGGTAGTAGATGCTATAAATTTGACTTGGGAAAAACTTCAACCAGAATGATTATGTTAAGTTTTTAGCTGAAAAAATTCTTTTGTAAAGGGGAAGGCATCTGATTTTAAAAACACAATAATTTTTCATTAAGATTTAGTCTTTTTGGGAAGGGCCGCTAGGACTAAGGACGCTATAAATTAAAACGGAGAGGGATTTGTTGAGTGAATGGATGCTTCTTCTGTTGTAGGCACTTTACATTGGTAGTTTTGCATGGTGCATGGAACTTGCCTTTCCATTTTTTGGTGAGTGTCAGGACATTATTATATGTTTCTGTAAATCTATATCTTATCAACTTTTCTTTGTTCCTCCTGCTACATTGCATATTATCACAATCTTCTGTGCTTTTCTAATCAGAAATTATTGTAAAGCAACTCTTATTATTCATACTATTAGCTTCATTAAACTTTTTTTGTTTTATTCTCCGTCATAGAATTTCACTATGATGGTTGCTTTTTCTTTTACTGAGAATTTCTTAGCTTTATTTTCTGGATGTGGACGGATTCGCAATATTAGAATTCTATTGCTGTTTGCAATATTAGAATTCTATTGCTGTATAATAGTTTCATTGATGCCCACTTTCTTTTTATTTCAGTTATTGATGATGCCTTGTGCGAACAAAGGCTTTGGGACATGAAACGGCGGGGTGACCAAAACTTCTACATGTGTGAAATTCAAAAGGATTTTACAATAGATGCTACTTTCAAAGGAAATTTTTCTAGGTTTCTAAACCACAGTTGTGATCCTAATTGTAAGCTGGAGAAGTGGTATGCCTTCCAAAATTCTTCTTACAAAAGTACATTGACCTGTTGAGCTAATAAAAGTTTGTTATTCTATTTTGCTTTGAAACAATAAGCATTCCATGCCATTTCTGATAGGCAAGTAGATGGAGAAACACGCGTAGGTGTTTTTGCATTGCGATCAATTCAAACTGGAGAACCTTTAACGTATGATTACAGGTATCAGATCTTGTCATTTTTGTGTTTAATATTATATGGATTACTTGATTTGGTAACATCCTTTGTATTTATCTGTTTGTGGAATGGTTCTTTCAAATCTTGTCTTAGCTGTCCCCATAACATGCATGTTTTGGAATTCAAGTTTGTGATTCTACATTCCTAGGGGCTTGATTTTCTTGTTTTATAAGATTAGCATGTTCCAGTATCAGATACCAGATTTGTTAGAGCAGTTTTCCTTAAATGTGCTTTTTGTCTTCTATGATTGTTGTTTAACTTTGCCTAACTTGGAGAATTTGTCAACGTTGTGGTGTGATAGATTGAGAGCATACGACCTCGCTTTTTATTATGGGCTTTTTTTTTTTTTTAAATTTGCAGATTGTTTCGTTTCATAAATGTAAATAATGATGACATTGAACACATATTGTAAACAAATACAATTTAGTGCAATTTTAGAGAGGGGGGGGGAGGGGGGAAGGCTAAAAGTGTTCTTCTTTAAGGTGGTAGCTGATATCTTGAATTGAGCAACGTTTTTTAATATTTTTTGGATAGTAAAAAGAAAGATTGAATTTCGTTTTTCAGTATTTATGATTTAGAATTGTTTAAATATCATGCTCACAGTGCAGTATCACTCCACTCAGCAAAAATATATTGAGCACGAAATCTACTTTCACTCTCAGTGGTAATGTAATCAACTGAGTGGTGTTTTGACTTACCACAATTGTTATAAGGGGCATTTACATACATATCACCCATCTAGGGTTTCCATTTATGCCACTCAAATCTTACATATCACATAAAAATTTCACCATTTTAACTTAAAAAAAAGTGAAATACACCTTTTCATGCTTAGGCAAGGTAGTATGTCTGTAAAAAGTTGAAGTTTAGGTGTTAGATATGTAAATACATAATAATTGAGTGGTATGTATGGTAAATCTGGTAAATCTTCCTTGTTATAAATCTGAAACAGCTTTTGGGAACCATCTATTATCAGGTTTGTCGAATGCCGGCTTTCAGGAAATTGCCTACTAGCATAATGACATCATTAATTATGTTGATAACTTTAATGGATGTGAAAGCCCACTTCTTCGTGAACTTGTAAGGGTAGTTTTTATGGTATCATATGCTTTCAATTAGATTTCCAGGGTAATATAGGTCAAATTCAATCTATCCAGCGGTGTTCTCGGTCATTTTGATTTTTCTTAGCTATGCCTTCCACATGGTTAGTTGAATACTTTAGTTCTGGTAAACCCATAAACCTTAGAGAACTTTTTTTATTTCACGTTTTAATGTAATAAAGCTTATAAACTGTTTAGTGTAGTCAAGGATTCATGAGTTACCTGATTTTATTTCGGTGAAAAATTAAAATATTGGAAACTTTGAATTAGTAAGGATATTTTTGTTATTGAAGAATGTGTCGTGCTGTTCGCAAAAAACTCTGGTAGCTCAAATTCGTTGGTTATTCATGTTGATGGATATTTTTTTTGTTAGAAATTTCACATAAAGAAGACTGTTTCTGTGAAACAACGTTGACAGGTCACAATCCTCTGCAAATGCATATTCCAAATGACTGAGACTTTTATTAGGTTGGGAATAAGTTGGTTTAAAAGTGCCAAGTGGTTTTAAAACTTTAATTAAATAAATTCCCATCTAGCTATTAACTCACACACAACCTACTTGCCCTCCTTATTGGAGCCTTCAATAGTGAAAGGTATGACGAGAAAAAGTTGGAACTTTAGTTTTAAAACTGCATGTACCTTCGCCCTAGTTTCCTTTTTTTTCTCCGTATTGGTTTTCTCTTTAGATATTTTAGTACTTGGTGCTCATGGCTCATCCCTATGTCTGATTTTTTACTTTAGGTATCATGAATTATTTGATGCAACGTGGTAACCAAACTGGATGTACATGCAGCACATAATCATGATTTTTTTGGGAGCTAAATCTCTTCGGTGGGTTCTGCCATGAAGAGAGCTTGTGATGAAGCATGACCAAGAAATCAAGGGCTTTTGATGCCATCATAGATAGATTTTGATTGTCGAAGAAGGAAAGAGCAGACTACGAGAGACAAAGAACTAAGATTGAGAGAGGTGGTAAATTAGGAGGATCATAAGTGGAAAAGCAAAAGAAAGAATGGGATGTGGGACATGAATATGAATTGGAGGGAGTTGGTATTTAAGAAAGAGAGAGGGGTTTGATAATCTAATCCATAAAAATAACTGGGATTTTTTTTAATCAAAATGACCTCACTATGAACCTATGACTTCATTTACTACTGAATGTCATTTTACCGACATTCAGATCTCCGGTCCACAATTGGTAATATTCTAATCTTATGTCGATGTTAGAGAAAATTGAAGCTCCCTCTAGTTAGCTGAATAGATAATCAATCATTAACAATTGATACATATTTTTAATTTAGAGCTTGTTCAATTTCTCATAATCAATTCAAAGCCTCTTCTCTAATTGTTTACAAGGATCATTGGAGCCTTCAATAGTGAAATGTTATGTTTGATCAATTCTTTGTCTAACAAATTCTTTGTAAATTTTTGGAATGGAGTAGGATAATCTTATTAAAATGAAAGGGGATGTATAATTACATATTACATGGCTTCTAACATAGGAAAGATATAAAATAGGAAAGACATTCAAATAGGAAATACGTAAAACAGGAGGAAAATATATAAAATAAGAAATGTAAGAAAAAGGAAATAAATCAATGCTAATAACTTCTAACACTCCCTCTTAAGTTAAATCATAGATGTGAATCATGTTCAACTTGGATTTGAACTCGTAAAAAAATGACTGAGAAAGATTCTTCTTGAGAATTTCTGCTAGTTAGCCGGTGTAAGGGACAAATGAAACACAAATTTCTCCGGAATCAAGTTTCTACTTGATAAAATGACGTCAATCTCCACAGACTTGGTTCAATCATGTTGGATCGGATTATGGGCAATATTGATGGCGATTTTATTGTTAGAAAGTAATTGTAGAGTAATGGAAGGATATGTAACTCGCGGAGCATGATGCACAATCAAATGACTTCACATACTTTTAGGGACATAGACCGAAACTCGACTTTAACACTGCTACGGGCAAACCATAATTTTTTTTACTTTTCCATGTGACAACGTTTCTCTACACAAAGGAGCAAAGCCCGAGGTAGATTGGTGATCATGGACTGACATGTCGTAATCAAGATCTTTATAAACTGCAACAAAGCGAAAGGTATGACGAGAAAAAGGCAAAACTGAATGCAGTGTGCCTTTCAAGTAATGGAGGATTTGATGTACAATAGTGAGGTGGTGCTCGTAGGGATCATGCATGAACTAACTGAAAATACCAACGACTTGACAAATGTCTGGACGCGAATGGGCTAGGTAATTGAGTTTCCCCGCTAGACGTTGGTAGTGTGTTTTGTTCACTAGAACTGCATTGGGAACATATGCCAACTTCTCATTGGGATTCATTGAAACATCTATCGGTTTGTAAAGAAGTAGCTTTGTCTCAGCCAGTAATTCTGTCACATATTTGCGCTGAGAAAGGCTAATGCCCCGGGAGGACTGAGCTATTTCCATACCTAAGAAATACCGGAGAGAACCCTAGTCCATCTCAAAAGATGCGTCTAGGACGCTTTTGAGAGATTCGATGGCCGGCCAATCATCACCTGTAAGTCCGATGTCATCGACATAGACAATGAGAATAGCAATCCGGTCTCCGGATGAGTGGCGAAAGAGCATGGTTTGATCAGATTTGGTCTGAGAGAAACCAATGCCCACTTGTATAAACTTGTTGAACCAAACCCGGGGGGATTGTTTCAATCCATAAATATGCTTCTGCAGTCGACATTCTTGGCCACAGGAATAGGTTGAGTCAAAGCATGGTGGGAGAGAAATATACACCCCCTTTGCAAGATCGTCGTTAAGGAAAACATTATTGACATCCAGTTGGGGTAATGTCCAATCCAGATTCACAACAAGTGATAACAGGACCCGAATGACGTTCAATTTAGCTACCAGAGCAAACATCTCCATATAGTCAACTTTATAGGTTTGTGAATAGCCTTTGGCGATCAACCATGCTTTGTTGTGTTCAAAGAATTCATCAAAGTTAAATTCTGTGCTAAAAATCCATCGAAAACCCATTGCTTTCTTTTCTTGAGGAAGATCAACATCCCACGTATTCTTTGAGCCCACATTCCCTTAGATCATTCTGTCATGGCTTCAATTTCATTCACTCACAAACATGTCATGTGTAGATGCTAAAATTATAAGAGTTAGGATGCCTTAACATATTGCTTATTTGTGTCTTCTTATTGCTTATTTGTCTCTTAGAAGACTTGCTATAAAACTGTTGTGATTGTAACCCTCTTAATGAGTCTTTCATCACAGATATGAATCTCATAACGTTACCATAACTCTAATACCTCTTTTATTACAACCTGCCATTGAAGCTCAGAGTATCAAGGCTGGTATAAGGCAAGTACAACGCGAGGTAGTGGACTGCCCACACATGCTTGATAATAACGATCACACGTGGATAGTTCGTGGCTTCTAACATACATCTTAAATATTTCTCACAGTTGTCAATAATAAAGGATGGAGAATCATCCCTACCATGATCAAAATGTAGTCAGATAATGTCTCCTTAAGGATGCCTAAATTGGCCCATCCAAGTAACATTGGTGATCCAACGAAGACAACCACTGAGATGTCTCTAATCGAAGACATGAACCTTGTGTATTATAATTTTCAATATCACAAGCTTATCAATGGTTATAAATAGATGATCCACATGGATTAATGGAAATGGTACTTAGATTGATCATTTATATGTTGGTCTTCTATAACGATGGTCGTCATTTTTGTTTGGACATGCTTGACTTTTCTAGAGTCATCATTTGTTGCAAACTTCTTGTGAAATTGATGTCTAGGGAGGCCATAATAATGAGTGTGTGCTAGTGTGATCAATAGATATTGCATGCCACTCTTAGGGTTTGTTTGGGG